AACAAACTTCCATTATTTTTAGAGGGCCACTTTTTGAAAATGACATTTTTGTGAAAGTTTGCAAAAACTAAACCTAAACCGATATTTACTTTCGTAATATGTTTTCTTCATAATTTTGACCAAAATCACTAAGAATCAAGATTCGAAAACAATTCCTGGCTGTTAAATGTGTCAATAAAATCCGATTGCTGGTTTTTACTGTTTTTTACATATCGTAAATGAGTATTTAAGGGACCACCATATTGAGAAAATGAATTGGCCACCTTTGTCTCCGGATATGAATCCCATTGAGCATGTGTCGAGCAGGATAAAATTGAAGATGAAAGAGAGGGAAGGAGGCATAAAAAATTTGGATGAATTGTTAAATGCTATTCAGGAAGAATGGGGTACCCCAGAAATTTCTAAGGAACTTGGTCGAGGGAATGCCCAGGAGGGTTAACGAATTATTACGGCTTAGGGGAGGGCCAACGAAATATTGAAAGGTATTATTGTTATTGTTTGTTACATTTTTCTGTTGAATGTTGAAGTTTTGATTATGATTATATCTACGCATACAATTTTCAAAAATGAACAAAAATATTTGTATTTAACTTTATTACCAATTAGGTACTTATCAATGATGTTATCACTACTGCGCAATGTAAATGTAAGTTATGTAACATTATCGTAACCACTCAAACAAATTGCAGTAATTTCGCACAAAAAATGAATCCCCAAATGGCATTTTCATCATAAATATGCAAGAAACACGACAGCAATCGGATTTTATTAAGACATTTAACAACAGGGAATTGTTTTCGAACTTTGATTCTTGATGATTTTGGTTTTATCTGAAACTTAAATTTGACAACTGAATCACAATCAGGAGGTCAAAATTATAAAGAAAACATGTCACGAACGTAAATATCGGTTCAGGTTTAGTTTTCGCAAATTTTCACCAAAATGTCATTTTGAAAAAGTGGTCTTTGCTTAGGCCCCTCTGAAAATAATGGAAGTTTGTTGCTTGTCGCTTGTTCAGAATTATTCAAGGAAAAATCTTTTACCATCTTATTTTCTTGTTCTTAAAAAGACTGAGTATATTCCCTACCAAAAAGTCTTAAATGTACTCTTTTGAAAAAAAAATCATATTTTCGTTGCTAAGATACCAATTCGAAAAATTTGAAAAACGTTTCAAGGTAACACATAATACTTTATTATTTTAAAGTAAAAACGAAAAAAAAATTATTGTTTTACAAACGGGGCTTGGATGAAATTATTGAAATTTTTCACCGTTTTACATATCACCCTGTAGAAAATTTACTTGAAGAACCGTGTGTTTAATATCTATAGAATGAATTGCCAGAGGATGGGGTTAGCAGACATCACAGACCAAAATAAAATCGTTTAAGAAACAAAAAAGTTATGTCGTTTTAAAAAAGGACGAACTTTTTGGTCGCGACACATTGAGTGGTGCGCAGTTTAATAAAGCTAACGGTCCTTTTGAAATTATTGAAATATTAAGAAATAATGCTTTTAAAATTAAAAACTTAATAAATGATAATGTTATAACTATAAATTCAGATCTTATAACTAGTAAAGTAAATTAATTTTAAAATTTCTTTTTAAATGGCATTTTCATCTATACTCATCGTATTATTTATATTAAAATTAGTTACGATACAAACGCAAAATAGTCCAAGTCTATTAAAAGAAAATGATATAATTACTACAATAAATAATACAATAGGAATAGTTTACTTTAAAGAAAAACCCTTATTTATCTCAAATGATAAATGGTCTATTTTGACATACAAAAATTTAACTTTGATTAAAGACGCATTTAGGAAAAATCAAAGATTGATTACACATTTAAATACACATATTTTACTAAAAGCAAACAATAAGAGATTTGAATTCTTTAAAGCAGATGTTATAATTCACTTAGGAAGATTAAGTCATTCCAAATTACCATTTTTACCTGATTATATAGAATTGCCATATTTTTATGATTTAATAGAATTAAGTGCATATCAAACACTTGAAGAAATTGTTTTCATTTTAAATATACCTTTAATTACCTTTGATAAATTTAATATTTATCATTTATACTCAATTCCAGTAAAAAGTGATAATTCAAATTTTTGTAACATTTTAATACCTAATTCAAAATATATAGCCTTGTCTGTTCATGATAGATTTTACTTTTTATTTGATAACTTTGCCGATTGTAAAGAAATAACAAATAAAGGATTTATTTGTAAAAATAAAGTCACAACTCCCTCGAGAAATGGTCCATGTGAAGTTAAAATATTCACAAATCCAAAAGGCATGATGCCATTTCATTTAGGTATCAACAATTACCCGTGAATCTCAAAATTTTTGAGGTCGTGCAATATCGACATCATTTACAATTTGGTGGTTCCCCGAGTCGAGGGGTTGCTAGGCCGGACTTGGCACTTTGCCCTTAAAGCGGAACATATCTTTTTTAATAGCGAAACATAACTTTTTAAAGCCGCACAAACGTTTCTAAAGATGGACATAACTTTTATAATAAAAAAAAAATTGGTAACAAATTTTAATTACCTATTTATTAAGTACAAATAAATCACAGTAATATTTATTTTGATATTTTATTTAATTGACCAAAAACAATTTGACCGGTCAATTCCACAACCCTAATTATAAGTAAGGTTTCGATTTGATCGGAACTGTTCCTTTTTCGGCAGATACTTTCCGATTCGACATTCTGTTCCGTAAATGTTCCTGTTTATTAATCTGTTCCAAAGATGTACCGATTTAAGGTTAAGCACTGATCCACATGGCAAAGTACAAATTTCCGCGAGAATAATCACAAATAAATATATTGGCGTTTAAAATATGCATGTTAATCGAAAACTCCGCGTTTTCGATTGACATGTATATTTCGGTGATATATCTAGGGATATATTCTCGGACAGAACATAAGTTTGCTAGAGACAACGAAGGTTGGCTGCACTTACTGTGCTCCCTTCTGACTCTTACCACACGAAAGTGGACTCAATCGAGAAGTGTTTTTATCTTTGTTTTACAAACCTCAATCTTTCCAGACAACATTAAATTTTATGTTTATAAACAACAAATAAAGGCATAACTTGCCTCATAAGGTATGTTTAAAACAATAATTATTAACTGCGATTAATAATAATGGAAGCTTTATTCGTAGTTTTCGAATAATGCCACCACGAAGAAAGTGCATATTCAATGACATTTTGCAAAAACAGTTCCGGTTGCAACCTAGATCAAAATCGGTCGTAAAATGCAATAAATGTACGACTTCTTTTTCAGTCGTACTCAGTGGAAAACATGATATCTTACATCATATCAAGAGCGCAAAACATAAAAGCTTTAAGCGTCAACAGGCCTCATCATCGAAGGTTACTGAATTTTTCAGTACAAAGCAGTTTGGAAATTCCGAGAAAAAACCAGCCGCCACTGAAGCCACCTTCGCATATCACACAGTCAGACACAATCATTCCTGAATTTTTCAGTACAAAGCAGTTTGGAAATTCCGAGAAAAAACCAGCCGCCACTGAAGCCACCTTCGCATATCACACAGTCAGACACAATCATTCCTTTCGTTTAACTGATTGCACATCAAAACTTATCAGAGAAGTGTTTGATCCAAAATATACTTCTGGACGAACAAAGACTTAATCAATCATAACAAATGTTATTTTCCCCTTCACATTTGGAAATTTGACAAAAAGTTCGAACCATAAAGAGATTAAAATAATCCCTATTTTGGTCAAATACTTTTCACAAGACACTGATGTTGAAATAAAAATATTGGAAATGCAAGATAAACCTGGAAAAACTTCTCAAACTTTATCTGACTACATTTCTGAAGTATTAAGACATCATTTCCTTGAAAATAAATTAATTGCCTTCTCTGCAGACAATACCAATTGCAATTTTGGTGGTGCTAAACAAGAAGGAAAAACAATGTTTTTCATAGACTAAAGCAGGAGTTGGGAAGGGAGTTTCTTGAAGTTGGCTGTAGTGTCCATGTTTTAAAAAACTGTCTTCAGTGTGCAGCAGACAATTTACCATTTGATCTAAAAGTTATTGTTTTATCTTTGTTTTACTAACCTCAATCTTTCCAGACAACATTCAATTTTATGTTTAGAAACAACAAATAAAGGCATAACTTGCCTCATAAGGTATGTTTAAAACAATAATTATTAACTGCGATTACTAATAATGGAAGCTTTATTCGTAGTTTTCGAATAATGCCACCACGAAGAAAGTGCATATTCAATGACATTTTGCAAAAACAGTTCCCATTCATACGGTTGCAACCTAGATCAAAATCGGACGTAAAATGCAATAAATGTACGACTTCTTTTTCAGTCGTACTCAGTGGAAAACATGATATCTTACATCATATCAAGAGCGCAAAACATAAAAGCTTTAAGAGTCAACAGGCCTCATCATCGAAGGTTACTGAATTTTTCAGTACAAAGCAGTTTGGAAATTCCGAGAAAAAACCAGCCGCCACTGAAGCCACCTTCGCATATCACACAGTCAGACACAATCATTCCTTTCGTTTAACTGATTGCACATCAAAACTTATCAGAGAAGTGTTTGATCCAAAATATACTTCTGGACGAACAAAGACTTAATCAATCATAACAAATGTTATTTTCCCCTTCACATTTGGAAATTTGACAAAAAGTTTGGCTGAATCAAGATGCATTTCCATATTTATCGACTCTTCGAACCATAAAGAGATTAAAATAATCCCTATTTTGGTCAAATACTTTTCACAAGACACTGAATCAGTGTCTCAACATTAGATGTTGAAATAAAAATATTGGAAATGCAAGATAAACCTGGAAAAACTTCTCAAACTTTATCTGACTACATTTCCGAAGTATTAAGACATCATTTCTTTGAAAATAAATTAATTGCCTTCTCTGCAGACAATACCAATTGCAATTTTGGTGGTGCTAAACAAGAAGGAAAAACAATGTTTTTCATAGACTAAAGCAGGAGTTGGGAAGGGAGTTTCTTGAAGTTGGCTGTAGTGTCCATGTTTTAAAAAACTGTCTTCAGTGTGCAGCAGACAATTTACCATTTGATCTAAAAGTTATTGTTGTAAAAATATATGGATATTTTTACATTTATACAGTTCGTGTTAATAAACTGAAAGAATTCTGTGACTTTGTGGAAGTGGAATATGAAAAGGTACTAGGCTACTGCAAAACACGTTGGCCCGCGATGATGCCCGCTGTGGAAAGAATTATCAAAATATTTGTGCCATTGAAGTCGTATTTTTAGTCCCAAGAAAAGGTGCCGCAAATAATTTTTGATTTTTTTCAATGGAAACAGCAGAAGCCTGGCATTCACGCCCAATCTTCCATGTTCCATCGTGCAATATTAAAAATTGAGGGCAACAACATCAGCTTAATGGAAGTAATGAAGGTGATTTTAGAGTTGCAAACAAAACTTGAAGAAAGACTACGTGAAGTTTACATTCCTTTGGCTGTGCGAAATATCCTGACAAAACTTGAGGAGCAAGGTCATGAGTGTATGATGGACTTTAAGAAAGTCGCTAGCAACTTTTAAATCGCTGGACAAAACTTCAAACATCAACTTTTCTTCACCTCAATTGGATTCTTTTGGATTCTCAGCTCAAATGGACTAATATTCAGACTTATAATGAAAAATTACTTTCCCCAACAAGAATTTTGATAAAAACGAACTCTTTGATGAGGTTGTAAACTTAAAAGCATATATCACAGATTCAAAAATAAACGAGTGGAGAGAAAACTCCATCCCAATTGACCAAAGATGGGTAAAAAATTTTGGCCATTTCAAAAAGAATAATATCCTTTTCAACAACATTTTACAACTCGTCGAATACTCCTTCAGTTTACTAGGAACCAATGCTCCGATTGAAAGGGTTTTCAGTATAATTAACAACACATGTACCTCTGAGAAGACACAGGTATATGTGAAAACCTTGAAAGCCATGCTTATAGTGTGCTTTAATAATAATGACTCATGTTTGGATTAAAAAAAAAAAGCAATTTGTAACATAAAATTATGCCAAGCAATACATAGTTCCACTAAATATGTGCCACTGAATGAAAATAAGTGATTTTTATTTTGTTGATTTTTATGTTTTGTAGATTTTAATTTTTGTTATTTTTGTGATATTTTCATCATACCTACATGTAGTTTGTCTAGCATAAAAATATTCTTTTTTTAAATATTTGTATTATTTCCCAGAATAATTTTACCCCCCCCCATTCATTTCTGCATATTGTGTTCCGATTTCTTTTTGAACGAATCTGGTCACCTTAATTATAAGCGTAGAACAACTTACATGGAATCTTCAAGTATTGTACGGGAGCAATTAATGGATTCTTGTTATTTTCTGGTTTTATATATATATATATATATATATATATATATATATACACATATTTACATCAAGATGAGATCCGATCATAATTAGGACTACCCGAGATACACTACTTTCAATAACAATAATTTATTTTGAATTTACTTTTTATTGACACAAATGTAAGTACTCTTATGGCAAAAAGAGAGGGGTAAGATATTTTAATTTTTTTATATACTATGGGGATTATTAAACAAAGTGAGATCTAGATCTCACTTGGTATGTAAACTCCATAATAACATGTATAAATTAATTTTATGGCGAATATTACGTTCAAGTAGAGATCTGACAGTGTTGCCGCTATTTTTTTAAATATTTTAACACGTTTTTATTAACTCGCCTTCTTGTCTTCTGCCTGTTTGTTCGGTACAAAATTTGCATGCGATTTTACACCTACTTCCACCCAACTGATTGGGCTGAAATTTTGCACACACTTTTGACACTAGTGACAATACAATCTAGTATACTCAATATTGTAATTTGTTCAAAATGGCCGCCGCTACAAGATGGCGGATCCGCGGATTACCTCTTTCTTTACAATTGTGGGTCAACGCACTTTATGTGGGTATCAAATGAAAGGGTTTGACGAGTATACCACGATAAAGTAAGTGCCGGTATACTAAATTCAATATGGCGGCTTCCCCCAAGATGGCGGATTACCTTTTTTTTTACAACCCCCTTGATATGGATATCAAATGAAAGGGTTTGATGGTTATAAAACGATTAAATGAATGAGGTAAAACTAAATCCAATATGGCGGCCATTCCAAGATGGGGAATTACCTTTATCTTTACAACCCCCTTGTTATATATATTAAATGAAAAGGTTTGATAAGTAAAAAACGATGAAGTGATCAACGTTATACTAAATCCAATATGGCGGCTGCCCCAAGATGGCGGGTTACCTTTTTCTTTACAACCTCCTTGATATGGGTATCAAATGAAAGGGTTTGATGGGTATAAAACGATTAAGTAAGTAAGGAATCACTAAATCCAATATCGCGGCCATTCCAAGATGGGGAATTACCTTTATCTTTACAACCCCCTTGATATGTATATTAAATGAAAGGGTTTGATAAGTACAAAACGATAAAGTTATCGACGTTATACTAAATCCAATATGGCGGCTGCTCCAAGATGGCGTATTACCTTTTTCTTTACAACCCCCTTGATATGAGTATTAAATGAAAGGGTTTGATGGGTATAAAACGATAAAGTGAGTAAGGTACAACTAAATCCAATATGGCGGCCATCCCAAGATGGCGAATTACCTTTATCCTTACAACCCCCTTGTTATGTATATCAAATGAAAGGGCTTGATGAGTACAAAACGATGAAGTGAGTCATACTTAATTTAGCATGGCGGCCACCCCAAGATGGCAGAATATATATTTTTTCACAACCTCCTTGAAATGGGTATCAAATAAAGAGATTTCTCGAGACGTATACGTGAAGTCAATCCAATTTAAAAATGGCGGACTACCAACTAAACAGACTAAAAAGTAAAAAAAAAATAGTTTAAAAAACTAAAAAACATGTTATAACGCGCTTTTGGGTTACATTTAATTAAAAATCATTTACTTAAGTATGTAACTTGTACTTATACATGTACTTGTAATTTTAACTTATTTTTTTAAAGGACCCCACGCTTTTTGAAAGCCATTTAAAATTATGAAGCGAAAAAATTAATTCATACTTTTTAGTGCGTTAAAACGTGTTTTTTAAACGATTTATTTTAGGTAGGTGGTGAAGTATGCTTTAAAGTCTAGACGCTAAAAAATACAACAAGATAGAGAAAAAATGCAGGAGGCCAAAAGTTGTACCTTAAATAATTATTGCCTAATCTAAAAATAATATTTAACTAATAAAAAAGGCAGTAGCGTACCCAAATTTTATTTTTTAATATCTAGTTGGGTTTACTAGCGCTGCTTCTGTATTAACTAATTAACTTTAACTACACATGTTTAATATTAAATTAAGGCCTTTACCCATTACAAAAATCCTAAAAGCTATAAAACATACAGTTTATATAAACTTTTCTTATTATTTTTGCCGATCGACTATTTACTAAATTTTTCCGAATAAAACCTGGGACATCCTGCATATTATAATATAATAATATTATACTACTATTATGGTATTATTATATTATTAGGTATACCTAATAGGTACCCATTTACTTATTATAACGTAATTTTAATATGATATGATATGAGTTAATATATTAGTACCTATAGGTACTACAAGGAGTTAAAAGTCTATTTTCCACCCCAACCATTCACAAGAAATGTGTGATGAAAACATAATTTTACTTTTTATTTACTCTTCTATAACATTTTGGTTCAGTTACTAGTTTTTTAAATATTGCAACAATTAAAATTTTGAATTAGTTGGTTTTATGTAAAATGTATTAAATTTAAAATTAAAAAAAATAATAATTTAAACAGAGGATTTTATTATTAAGATCATTTGGCTGTACCCATTTAAATCGAAAAATAAGTTATCTTATGATTAGGTATTTGTATTTTGTTTATATTTACTTTCTATTGTACCACGGAGTAAACAATAATTTATTTAATGTATTTTCAATTATTTACGGTAACTTCATTAAAAATGGTAAAATAAAATAACGGTTTAATTAATATTGAGTTTTTATTGGTAAATAACCTTATTAACATTGTTATAGTTACTAAAATATTTTAACTATCAAACTAAAAACATTTATTACTGGTCGGTCCAAGTTGAAGGGATCAATTACTTTGCCGTTTTTTTTTAAAACATTGTTAAAGGTTATATAGTGCGCTCTATTTTTAACATTGAATTTGGAAAAAAATGGCAAAGGAAAACATGAATTTTGCAAGGTTTGCAGTTTTTTGTGTTTTTTAATGCAAAACAGTTTTTCTAAGACAATCAATGTTAAAAAAGTTATTTTAGTTATTCAGTGTGCTCTGAATTGTCTATGTTTAATGGAACATATTTTTTAACATTGATTTTGGAAAAAAATGGCAAAGGAAAACATGTTTTTGAATTTTGCAAGGAATCAACCCCTTCAATTTGGGACGGTAGTTTTGGGATAGGGAGCGTTGAAGTATTACGTAACGCAATTTTTGGAGATATTTAACCCCCCCTCCCCACATGTAACGCGCTGTAACGTTTTTCTGTACCCCCCCTAGTAAAACGTTACGTAACCACCAAGTGACTATTTTTACCTAAAAATCACAATTATGTGGCGTAAAGTACCGGAAAGTCCGAAGGGTTAAAAAATAATTATGTTACGTAACGCGTAGTTCAAGCCCCCTCCCGCCCCTGTAACGCATCGTAACGTTTCACAAAACCCTCCTCCCCCCCAAATTTGTTATGTAATACTTGAACGCTCCCATACCCAGTATATACAAGTGTTACAGAAAAATTCTTCATCAGGATAGAGGAACTACGATAAGTCAAATTTTTCAACTTATTTTTGCACAATTGTTTAACCAACACTGGATTCCAACTTCTAGGAAATCAAAATTTGAAAGTCTTGGCAGGATACAATCAAAAACAAATGTCACATGCAATCTGGTCATAAACAAACATGTCCATTTTTAAAAGTTGATTTTTTAAATACAGAAATTATTTTGATCATGATGGCTTATTCAGGCGTGCTAGGAAGCCTAAGATATATAAACAAGCTTTATATTGCAAGAATTTAATGTACTTAATTTAAAAACAGTTTTTTTGCTCCTGAAAATTTTTATTAGAGGGACATATTTGGTTTTGACAGAATGCTCCTGAACTGAAAAAAAATTAATACATTTTTGTTTAGCATGAAAATGTTATTTAAGACCTTTATCCATCAAAAACATAAAATTCAAAATTTTAAAAATGTGACTTACCTACCGTAGTTTCTCTATCCTGATAAAGATCAATTTTTCTATAGGTAAATAATTTGTATGTACTGGGTGTCCCAAAATCATCTCTAAATTAAAGGGGTCAATTCCTTGCCAAATTCATATTTACCTTTAAATAAAGCCAATTCAGAGTGCACTCTTTTAACATTGATTTGGCAAAGGAAAATGTCTTAGAAAACTGTTTTGCATTAAAAACACAAAAACCTGTTACAAATACAGCTGTAATTTTAATATAACAATTAACGGCCCATTTTAGTCACGTAGGTAGTC